AGTAGGACGCCACTCGTTCTGTTCTCCGGACCAGTGGCCTCTGCTCCTCCAGGGACCATGGTTACTGAATTATTTCTCTCTTCCCACGAGCATATTGAAGCAGTTTAATATCAGAAGGGGCTCATGAAGGCAGGGAGAGGGAGCAAGAACTTTCTATATGAGAAATATATACTGAAAACATTCGTTTTACCCCATTCAAGCTTTGATTCAATAGAACACTGAAGATACGGAATCGTTGGTTGGTTTGTATTTAACTTTTCATGTTGGAGAATTTCTCAGATGCACTGTTAGCCCGCTTACAGTGGTCCTGCCTCCTGCCTCATTAGTATTTTTAATATGATTTCATCCTTCTTCAAAGCAATTAGCTGCCACACCTAAAGGCCAATGTCAGGTTTATGAGTATCTGCTTCCAAGACTATAATAATAGTTACAGAAAGAATGAACACTGCAACGGAACCTTTCGGGCTTTGTAGTTTGTTGCTGTTGCCGTTGATTTGTTTCGTTTGTTTGTTTAGGTATCTTTTCTATCAACATGCTTCACTGTTACTTGTCTCTTTTTCTCAAAAGTGGGCTGGCATCATAAAAAAATTATCTTAATTAAGAGCTTCGGTAAATTAATTGCCAGGTCGTTTGAGTTCTGCTGAATAATATTTTTAATATTCGCTTTCCATTTCTTACTTGAAAATAATAGGTGCCTTGTTGACCCAGAGCAGGATTTGGTTGTCTTATTCATGCAGCCCATTTCCACTGAACTGCTATTTGAATAAACAGCATCTATCTGATTGAATCTCAAATTCATCAAGGGGGTAGATTCCCCTGGTATTTAGTTTCCTGGAATCATGATGAATATATATTTGGTTTATGGGCAACTAGCAATCAGAGCATACATTATGCAATAAAAAGTTAATGCTTAACTGTTTATACAGTTTTTTTATCCTGATGCTATAGGAGAACGGTTGGTTAAGAACATGGGGTTTGGAGCCAGTTCTGAGTTTGAGCACGAGCTCCCCACTCACTAGCTCTGAGCACAGACAAAATGTCAAATTTCCATTAGCTTCAGTTTCCTCATTTGTGAATGGTATAATAATAATAATAATAATACCTCCTTCATTGGGTTGTTGGGTAGATGATATGAGATAACGCATGTAAAATGCTCAGCACAGCTAAGTATCCAATAATGTTAATCATCATGTTATTTTTAAGGCACCTGATAATTTCCTCACAACAATCCTGTGGGGAGGCGGGGGGTTGGGGAATGCTATACAATGCAAATTTAAATATTAGAAAACTGGGGCTTCCCTGGTGGCGCAGTGGTTAGGAATCTGCCTGCTAATGCAGGGGACACAGGTTTGAGCCCTGGTCCGGGAAGATCCCACATGCCGCGGAGCAACTAAGAGCCTGTGTTGCGCACCTAGAGCTGTTTCTCCAAAACAAGAGAAGCCACGGCAATGAGAAGCTTGCGCACTGCAACAGAGTAGCCCCCGCTCGCTGCAACTAGAGAAAGCCCATGTGCAGCAACAAAAACCCAACAGAGCCAAAAATAAATAAATAAAATAAATTTATATTAAAAAAAATATTAGAAAACTGGACCTCGAAGTAGTTATTGATTTGCCCAAGGTCACCAAGGTGGCAAAATGCTGATCCTCTCAGTAACAAGAGTTTCCTGACTCTCAGTGTATCCCCACCGCCCCCGCCCCCCCCCCTTTACCCGTTCCGCCACCTGGTGCTGTCTCCTCACGATTTCTCTAAATCTGAAGTCCAAATCTAAAGTCATGATGATGGGCCACCTCTGCCTTAGACCCTCAGATGGACAAATGGAATAAACTCTGGAAGAGGCTTTAAAACCCACATTGATATTAGACAGAAATTTTCTGGGAAAATAGTGTCTTCAGAACTACAAAGTCAGGATGAATTCTTTGGTAACACTGAGAAGCAAATACTAGTGAGGAAGTGAGTTCCAATTAATGAGCTTGAAACCCATAGGAGAAGCCCAAAGGGATGACACAACAGGTGAACAAATCCACAAGCCGAGCCAGCTTTAGACCAAATGAACACAGTCTCATCTCTACATAGGTTTTCTTTTATTATTTATTTATTTATTTATATGGTTGAGCCAGGTCTTAGTTGCAGCAGGCTGGCTCTTTAGCTGTGGCTTGCTGGCTCCCTAGTTGTGGCATGCAAACTCTTAGTTGTGGCATGCATGTGGGATCTATTTTCCTGACCAGGGATCGAACCCGGACCCCCTGCGTTGGGAGTGCGGAGTCTTAACCGCTACACCACCAGGGAAGTCCCAGTCTGCCTAGGTTTTCAAGTGTGTGTCTATCTTACTGTCACTCATAAAATGTAAAAATTCATTCAAAGGCAGTGCTGCATTTGTTGTATCATTTTTAACATGCTGTATTTTCTTGATAAATACTAAAAGCACAACTTCTATCATGTGGAGGTCTATGGCTTTTTTTTAACTTTAAAAACCAGGTGCGCACACTTCATAGACAAAAAAATCAATGGTATTGAGAGGAGAGATCTTTGCCTACCAAGTTTAACAAGCTAGATTTAAGGACTGGCCCTGCTAATTATAAGCTTAAAGCACCATAAACTCAGGCAGTCAATTAAAGTCAATAGACAAATGGATAAAGAAGATATGGTATATATACACAATGGAATATTACTCAGTCATAAAAAAGAATGAAATTCTGCCACTGCAGCAACGTGGACGGGCCTAGAGAATGCTATGCTTAGTGAAATTAGTCAGACAGAAAAAGACAAAAACTGTATGACATTACTTATATGTGGAATCTAAAAATTAATACAAGTGAATGTATATAGCAAAACAGAAAGAGACAGATACAGAAAACAAATCAGTGGTTACCAGAGGGGAGAAAGAAGAGGGGAGGGGAAAGATAGGGTTATCAGATTAAGAGATGCAAACTACTATGTATAAAATAGATAAGCAACAAGGATATACTGTATAGCACTAGGAATTGCTGTCATTATCTTGTAATAACATTTAAAAGAATATAATCTGTAAAAGCACTGAATCACTATGCTATACACCCAAAACTATTATAATATTGTAAATCAACAATACTTCAGTAAAAAATAATAAAAGTTCAAACATACATAAAGTCAGTCTACTGAGTGCCTTTAAGGGGTCTGAGTCCTGAGCTGGGGCCAGTAGGGTGAATAGCAGTCGTTCACCCTCTTTTCTCAGCTTCTGTTTTCTCACCTATAAAGTAAGGGTAATAATATGACTCTCCCCACAAGGCTACTGTGAAGATCCAATGAGAAAAACAAGAAAATAAATGTACAGTGATGTTTGTGAAAGCGCTTTGTAAACTCTTTAGAGAGTTATAAGCATAAGGTGTTGAAGACAAATCGAGGAGAGGAAAACTCTTCATCTTTTTCTGGTGGCTTTCCTGTAACTATTGACCATCCAGCCCCACGAATTTATCAAATACTCGCATTCTCTTCTTTAATGTCAGATTATATTCGTATTTTTTATGTTCGTATTTTTTATATTCATATTTTTAAATGTACTTTTCCATCTCTTCTCTCCTCCTCCCACTTTACTGTGTTCCATAAATTGTAATGTTCTTTAATATCAATATGGCACTACAGTATCAGATTATACAAAACCTTAAATAAAGCATCAGTATAAAATTCAAAGCAAAGAATAGCCCAAGGGCTCACAGCTTACAGTTTACAAGCCCATGTGTACACAAGGCCCATCTGTGAGGGATATTTTAAACACTGTCAATTGCATGGGTTATAGCTGATGGAGATCTCATCCAGGCTCTGGTTAACTCCAGGAGTTAATGAGAGAAGACTGTTCCTACTTTGTACTCGTAGGCTGAGGCCCTAGTGCCACCTCTTGTCTGGGAACGAGTGGTTTATGGAAGTGGAGGCATCACTCTTGGAACTGAAACCTTCCCCAATTCAAGGCTTCCGGAAATATATTAGGTCTACTATATTTTTACCTCTCCTCTGATTCCGTATTATATGTACTAATTGGGGAATTTGGTCATTATATCTATTCTTGTTAATAGAAGACATTCACTTAGAGTTTGCTAAGTACCAGACAACACACAAAGCACTACAGAGAAATGCAAAACACATAATATGCATGATCCCTGCCTTGCAGGATTGGAGAAGGAAGTAAAACCAGCATTTATTTCCAGGCAGCAAGTGTTATTTTAGATTCTCCAACCAATGACACCTTGAAGTGAAGCAACTGAGGCTCAGAGAAATAAATTTTCTAAGATCACACAGCTAGCAAGTGTCTGAGCCAGGTTTATCCAAGGTCTACCTTGTTCTGAAGTCCACGTGAAACCTTTCCACTCAACTTCACTACTTTCCTTAATCAGGGAAAGTGAATACAGACATTAAAGGAAACCTACAAATGAATAAGGACTAGAAATTCTACAGATTCATAAGTGCAAGGGAGACTGAGGGTCTAAAGTACCCGGAGCTAGACTGGCCCTGATCTGAGCAGATTCTCAAGCAGGTCAATGAATGATACAACCTGAGAAACAAGTAAGGTGGATGCCAGCCAGAAAAAAAACAAAAAACAAAAACAAAAACTGTGCTGGAACCAAAAAAAAATAGCACTGTGGGCAATTAAAACTTCTAATTAGAATAAAAGCTATAATCCCAAGCACACTGTTTTGTCCTCCAGATTAAGATGCTTCATCTTTATGGCACTAGGAAGAATAAAAAGGACTATGGAAACTTTGTAAGTTACCGAAATGTTCACAGACCTATTTTCCAGGCAAATATAAAGGAGTGCTGCTTTGTTTGTTAGAATATTGCCAAGTTCATTACGCTCAGCATTCATTAAATATCCCTTCCCACATAGCGCTCTCTTAAACAAGGTGAATGGAATCATTTTCCCCGTTATTTGGTGTAGGTTCCAGTGACCTAAGTGGGTAAGAGGATTTACAGAGGAAAAGTGAATACACTTGGCAACGTTTTCAAACATTTGCTTGGATTTTGTTTTCTAGGAGATGTACGACTGAGGGGTCAGACGGGGGTTCCTGCCGAACGCCGCGGCTCCTACCCATTCATTGACTTCCGCCTCCTTAACAGTGAGTAATCAAGTGTACCTGGAAAGGAACAAATGTTTCCTTGAAAAAAAAATTCTCATTTCCCTCTGAACTTCAAAACCCTTGGAGGTCCGCCTTCCTTCCTCCATCTCTCCCTGCCCAGTTGCAAATTAACCCTTGGTCTTTCGATTTCCTTAGTAGTGAAGTCATTCGGGCCCTGCCCTACCTCACAGAGCTTCAATGAGGGTCCAGTGAAATCATGCCAGCTTGAGAAATGTAAATCTTGAAAACAGTGAAGCCTGACACGAGGAAGCTATTCCTTCCATTATCCAGGACATTCTCTCCACCTTTAGCCGGGACTAGACTAGAGGAGATTCTATTTTATTTTTAAAACCCCACAGGGTAGCCTATTGTACAGCTGCCCTTAGTAACCATCCATTATCTAATTTTACTTTCTTTATCTAATCTAAGTCCTGAGGTCTGTTCTTGCATCCCTGGTAAAACGCTTCACCATGGCGAAGTCCTTTCAGTCTGCACTTGCTGCTGCTTCCTCCTGTATGACTATAGAAGTTCATTTATTTCTAACTTTCTCCTTCATATACTATTCCTCCTTTGGAGATTTGCTCAACCTCTGGTTCATAGTTCTCTTAATTTCAGGTTCCTTTGGAAACCCAAACCAGTACCAGTCACCCCTCCAGACTTCATGCCTTCTAACTATCACAATCATCCTTCACTTGGGACTTGGGGGTGGGGAATGAAGAAAATGGATAAATTTCACAACTTGCTCCAAGGTTTTCGGTATGTGGTTCTCATAGCACTTCCCATCCATAAATTTCAAAGTGCTGGGTTGTACCCACAAAATATTACTTTCCTTTGGCATAAACAGGTTCAACTAGAGAGGTAATTTGATTTACCTTTGACCCCTGAAAATTCCTAGGAGAAATTGGAACTTGCTGTTTCTGATCCTTAGATCTGCCAAAGGCCAGTGAAAGATGGACATGTGTATTTCTCCTGGTTTGTCCACCTCCCATATCACTGTGCAGTATCTGTTTTTTCAGCTCTTTCAGAGACACAGGGATTCAGAGTAACTCTTTTCATACTAGAGACAACTTCCCCCACCCAGACCCAAAAAAATGTATTTTAGAGGATACAGTCGAGTTCCTAGACTAATGCAATATTGGTTACAGCCTATGGGGAGCTCTGATGGTGTCTCTTACCCCGCCTTATAACCCTGCACGCGTTGTTCCAGCTACCCATGGAAGTTATCCCTTTGACGGCCCCTAGCCTGTATGGATTTCCAGGTCCCAGGCATATGGTCCCACCAAGCAGTTGTGGGGATAAGCAAGGGTCCAATTCACTGTCTCATATAGACCAGGACTCTCAACGGCATCACATACCGAGGGTCAGAGGCAGAAAATAACCAAAAAGCCTCTTTTCAATAGTAAATGAGATGTTATAACATGGGTCCTAATATACACCATGAACAAATTAGGAAAATAGGAGACATTTCTCCTTATAGTTCCAAGGTTCCAAATGATAAACTTTTTTTGTTTATCTTAGTGTTAATGAGCAACATCCACTACTAATGACAGTTATCCTTGCAGGTGGGATTATGGAATATTTAACTGTCTACATCTTCGGTTTCTGTAACACTTGGATTTTTTTTTAATATTCTATAAACTTTTTTTGTTTATCTTAGTGTTAATGAGCAACATCCACTACTAATGACAGTTATCCTTGCAGGTGGGATTATGGAATATTTAACTGTCTACATCTTCGGTTTCTGTAACACTTGGATTTTTTTTTAATATTCTGTTTCACTTTTTAAGCTGAAAAAACTGGAAAATTTTAATTTTTTTTTTTTTTTTTTTTTTTTGGTATGCGGGCCTCTCACTGTTGTTGCCTCTCCCGTCGCGGAGCACAGGCTCCGGACGCGCAGGCTCAGCGGCCATGGCTCACGGGCCGAGCCGCTCCGCGGCATGTGGGATCTTC